CACTGTCCCAGCGAGGGTTCCACCCCCCACTTAGCCACTGGAGCAATGTCCCTCAGCAGAGCAGACTTCTAAAAGTTCCGATTTTGTGCTCCGCTGCTCTATCACTTGCCAGAAGCAGCAGTCGGAGGCCCCCTCCCCTGCCATCTATCCTCCCGAATATCGCCTCGGATTCACTTCTCCGCATGTCCTACCTTCCAGAAAATGGTCGCTTTTCTGTTCAGAGAGTTGCTGCTCTTCTTTTCTTCGATCTCCTGTTGAGTTTGTAGGTGTTCAGAATGGTTTGATCCCTATCCAGCTCAATTCCTGAGACCAGATGAAATCCAGGTCTCCTACTCCTCTGCCATCTTGCTCCCCGCCCCCATTGTAGTTTTGATTTGCATTTCCCTGATAGTGAATGATGTTGAGCATCTTTTCATGTCTGTTGGCCATCTTTCTTCTTCAGAAAAATGTCTATTCAGGTTTTCTGCCCATTTTAATTTGTTTTGGGGGGTTGAGTTGTATAAGTTAGTTATACATTTTGGATATTAACCCATTATTGGACATATCAATTGCAAATATCTTCTCCCATGCAGTAGGTTGCCTTTTTGATTTATTGATAGTTTCCTTTGCTGTGCAAAAGCTTTTTATATTAGTGTAGTTCTAATGGTTTATTTTTGCTGTTGTTTCTCTTGCCTGAGGACAGATATTTAGAAAAATGTTGCTATGGCCAGTGTCAACAGAAATTACTGTCTTTATTCTCTTCTAGGATTTTTGTAGTTTCTGGTCTCACATTTATTTTTTACATCATATTTATTTTTTTTATTTTTATTTTTTTTAATTTTTTAATTTTTTTTAAAGATTTTATTTATTTATTTGAGAGAGAGAATGAGATAGAGCATGAGAGGGGGAAGGGTCAGAGGGAGAAGCAGACTCCCTGCTCAGCAGGGAGCGCGATGCGGGACTCGATCCCGGGACTCCAGGATCATGACCTGAGCCGAAGGCAGTCATTTAAACAACTGAGCCACCCAGGTGCCCCCATATTTATTTTTTTTAATTTAAATTCAATTAGCCAACATATAGTACATCATTAGTTTTTGATGTAATGTTCAATGATTCATTAGTTGCATATAACACCAGTGCTTGGTCTCACATTTAGATCTTTAGTCCCTTGTGAGTTTATTTTTGTGACTTGGAAGAAAGTGGTCCAGTTTCATTCTTTTGCATGTCGCTGTCCAGTTTCCCCAGCACCATTTGAAGAGACTGTCTTTTTCTCATTGTATATTCTTGCTTCTTTAGTTGTAGTTTAATTGACCCCATAAGTGTGTGTTTATTTTTGGGCTCTCTATTCTGCTACATTGATTTATGTTTCTGTTTTTGTGCCAGCACAATACTGTCTTGATTATTACAGCTTTGTAGTATATCTTGAAATCTTGGATTATAACACCTCCAGTTTTGTTGTTCTTTCTCAATGTCACTTTGGCTATTCAGTGTCTTTTGTTGTTCCATACAAATTTTAGGATTGTTTTTTCTAGTTCTGGAAAAATGCAGTTTGTATTTTGATAGGGATTGCATTGAATCTATTGATTGCTTTGGGTAGTATGGACATTTTAACAAGATTAATTCTTCTAATCCATGAGTACAGGATAGCTTTCCATTTGTTGGTGTTGCCTTCAGTTTATCTTAACAATGTTTTATAGTTTCAGAGTACAGGTATTCCATCTCCTCGGTTAAGTTTATTCCTAGGTATTTTATTTTTGGTGCACTTATAAATAGGACTGTTTTCTAAATTTCTTTTTCTGCTACTTTATTAGTCTGTAGAAAATCTACCTATTTCTAGGTATTAATTTGTATCCTGCATCTTTACTGACTTCATTTATTACTTCTAATAGTCTCTAGGGGTTCTATGAATAGTATTATGTCATCTGCAAATAGTGAGTTTAAATTCTTCCTTACCAATATGGATGCCTCTTATTTCTTTGTTTTCTTTCTTTGCTTTCTTTTCTTTCTTTCATCTGATTGCTGTGGCTAGGACTTCCACTACTATGTTGAATAAAAGTGGTGAGAGTGGACATGCTTGACTTGTTCCTGATCTCAGAGGAAATGCTTTTTTTTTTCACCATTGAGTATAATGTCCACTGTGGGTTTTTCATATATGGCCTTTATTGTGTTAAGGTATATTCCCTCTAAGCCAACTTTGTTGAGAGTTTTTATCATGAATTGATGTTGAATTTTGTCAAATGCTTTTTCTGCATCTAATGAGATAATCATATAGTTTTTATCCTTCATTTTGTTGACTTGGTGTATCACATTGATTGATTTGTGAATATTGAATCATCCTTGCATCCCGGGAATGAATCTCACTCGATTGTGGTGAATGATCCTTTTCATGTATTGTTGAATGTGATTTTTCTAATATTTTGTTTAGGATTTTTGCATCTATGTTCATCAGTGACATTGGCCTGTAGTTTTCTTTGTTTGTGGTGTCTTTGTCTGGTTTTGGTATCAGGGTAATTCCTGCCTCATATTATAAATTTGGAAGCTTTCCTTCCTCCTCTATTTTTGGAATGATTTGAGAATAGGTATTCACTCTCCTTTAAATGTTTGGAGAATATACCTGTGAATCCATGTTGGCCTGGGCTTTTATTTGGGGGGAATTTTTTGATTACCAATTCAATTCCATTCCTAGTAATCACCTATTCAGATTTATATTTCATTCCAATTCAGTTTTGGGAAATTGTATGTTTCTAGGAATTTATCCATTTCTTCTGGGTTGCCTAATTTGTTGGCATATAATTTCTCATAGTATTTTCATATAATTCTTTGTTTTTCAGTGGTGTCAGTTTTCCTCTTTTGTTTGATTTTATTTATTTGGGTCCTTTTTTTCTTAATGAGGGTGGCTAAGGTTTGTCCATTTCGTTGATCTTTTCAAAAAACCAACCCTTGGTTTCGTTGATACACACACACACACACACACACACACACTAGTCTCTATGCCATTTATTTCTGCTCTGATCTTTTTGATTGCCTTCTTTCTACTCATGTTGGGCTTTGTTTATTCTTTTTCTAGTTTCTTTAGGTATAAGGGTATATTTTGTATTTGAGCTTCTCTTGTTTCTTGAGGTAGATTTGTATTGCTGTTTATTTTCTTCTTAGTACTGCTTTTGCTGTGCCCCTAAGATTTTTGATTGTTTTTTTAGCTTCACTTTTTTATTTTTTTGCTCTCTGATTAGATGAATTCCACTGCCCTGTATTTGAGTTCACTGAATGTTTCTTCCACTTGGGTGATGGGGGTCCAAAGATACAAATTACTAGTTATAAAATAGGTTATGGGGATGTAATATACAACATGGTGACTATAGTTAATAATACTGTATTGCATATATGAAAGTTTCTAGGAGAGTAAGTCTTAAAAGTCTTCATCACAAGAAAAAATTCTGTAAGTATGGTGACAGATGTTAACTTAGACTTATTGTGGTGATCATTTTGTAATATATACAAATATCAAATCATTATGTTGTACACTTGAAACTAATATAATGTATGTAAATTATATCTTAATAAAAATATTTTTAAAGGATTAGCAGGAAGAAAAGTCATTCTGATGATATGCTCTACTTTCAATTTAGAAACTCTTGTAAACAAAATTTAGGCAGATTCTAATCTAGCTACTTCTTTCTGCCCTACCAAATACTGACTAGGGACTAGCCTTGCCATTGAAATTCTCATTGTTCTGGCATTTTCTTTCCATTTTCTCTATATCCTTTCATCAACTGTTACCTGGATGTACCTCCCCATCCCTACACTCTCATGTCTCTGTCTCTCTCTTCCCAAATTTATTCAACAGTTACCAGAATGGTAGAAAAATTGGGAAAGAAGCAAGGAAAATTTAATCATCATTGCAACTTCTCTCTTACTTCTTACTATTTCCAGTAAATATGCACATGCATATGCATGTGCACACACATGTGCACGCGTGTGTGTGCGCATGCGCGTGCACGCGCACACACACACCCCCCCCCCAGAGGCTGGCTTACACTGTGGTAACTCAAAGCTGTTGCTTCAGGTTCTGTCACCTCTCCTCAGGAAAGAGCATGATTTCCTTCCATGTTGTCTGACTTTATTTTTTGTGTATTTTTTCCCTTTGGCAGAAATAACAATGCTCCAATGCCCTCTTCGGTGTCCTCTGGCCGCAATATCAACAATAGGTGAGTTGATTTTTCTGTCATCTGAGTGGGAAAACCACTTGGGAACATCAGTGGCAATACAGCTTGTTCAGATAGCCTGTCAGCTTCTGTATGTAACTTTTTCTGTTTTGGATCTAGATTGAAGAGAAGGAACAAATCAAAGAGAACATTTACTATGGGTCTGTTCATGAGCTTTAGGGACTACCAGTCAAAATGCTTGGGAAACTATCAGAGTGTCTGTGTATGACATTCTACTTGTATGAGCCAAGGGAGGAGAGAATACTACTTGGAAGCAAAAAGCAAAACAGTGGACAGGAGCAGAGGAGCACTCGGTGAAAAATAAAGGAGCTAATAGACCCAAGATCTTTCCATCACCCTCTGGTTTCTGCCCCCATGTGAGGCTAGTTGCCCTAAATCCAAACCCACCATCATATTGGTTGGAGTCCCAGCCCCAGGCCTGAAGTTAGTTGGCCATATCTGAGGAGCAAGGAAAACATCCATGAAGCATGAAGAGTAAAGCGGTGCTAGAGGGACTTAGAATCAGAAAATTAGATGGGGTAAGAAGGACAAGTACCTACAAACTATAGTTGAATTTGAAATAAATGCAAGTGCAAAAGCAGATACACATTGGGGTTAGGTTCAGTAGTCAAGAAATGTTTTAAAATCTTGATCCATTAAGGATTCTTTTACAAGTCTAAGAATTTTGTTTCTATCATATAAATCTGCACTTCTAGGGGAAAATGAAATACTTCTTTCCAAATAGCCAAATTACATGAGAATTTTTTAGTATTCAACCACATTATCAGTTGTAGATAAATTGAAGATAATTTGTATGAAAAAAGTATGTAAGATGTCACACAGTGTTTGAGCAGATACATTTTATCCTTTAGTTCTGATTGGAATGAATCGACCTCAGTAGCTGATAAGGAAGTCACCAATGAAAGGTGAGATAAACATATGTAAAGATACACCAGAGATATCCAATGCAGAGTTTCTTGGACACTCTAAAATGTTGACAGTGTCAACTTTTATATGTAACATATTTTTTATCTAGTTGGATAGAAGAGGAACAGGACTTCCTATCTGAGTGGTATACCAGTAGCCAAAACTCTTAGAAAACTACCAGATTGTTGTATGAGATTCTACTAGAATGGGCTGTATTAGTTTGCTAGAGCTGCTGTAACAAAATATCACAAAACTGAATAGTTTAAACAACAGAATTTTATTGTCTCAGTCTTAGAGGCTAGAAGTTGATATCACGGTGTCAGTAGGGTTGTTTCCTTTTGAGGGCTGTGAGCAAGAATCTATTCCATGCCTCTCTCCTAGCTTTTAGTGATTGCTGTCAATCTTTGCTGTTCCATGGTATGTAGAATCATCTCTCCAATCTGTACCTTGATCTCTACATGGGTGAAGTATGTGTGTCTGTGTCTAAATTTTTCCTTTGTATAAGCACACCAGTCATACTGGATTAGGAGCCCAACCTAAACCAGTATGACTATGTCTTAATTACACCTATAGCAACCCTATTTCCAATAAGGTCACATGCTGAGTTGCAGGGGATAGGATTTCAACATATCCATTTTGGTGAGACAATATTCAACTTATAATATGTGACAAGTGAGGAGAGATTCCTATATGGAGCCAGGAGAATAATGGCAGTAGACTGGGAACAGAAGAGGCCTTAGTAGAAAATAACAGAGCTAATAGACACTGGGCCTGCCCCACACCCTCAAGAGCTCTGCCACCATGTGAGCTAGCCCTCAGACTCAGACCCACTATCATAGTGGATAGAGCCACTGCCTCAGACCTGCAGTGCTTGACTCTGTCTGGGGGGCAGGAAAGATGACCACGATGGGTGAAAATAAGGAGGTGATGGAAGGACTTGAGAATAAGGAATTTAGATAGAGTAAGAGGGATGTGTACATTATGAACTGAAGTTAAAGTGAAATAAATGCCACCACAAAAGGCTCTTATATATTGGGATTAGGGACAGGAAAGAACATTACTTAAACCTTGATGCTCACTATTTTCACAGTCCTAAGATATTAATTACCACCATATGAAATCTTACTCCTTTTAAAAAATTTTTAATTCCAGTATGATTAACATACAGCATTATATTAGTTTCAGGTGTACAACACTGATTCAACAATTCTATACATTACTCAGTGCTTGTCACGATAAGTGTGCTCTTAATCCCCTTTTATCTGTTTCACCCATCCCCCCACCCACCTCCCCTCTTGTAACCTAGTTAAGAGTCTGTTTTTTTGTTTGTTTGTTTTACCTTTTTGAGGAACCTCCAAACTGTCTTCCAGAATGGCTGTACTAGCTTGCATTCTCACCAACAGTGAGGGTTCCCCTTTCTCCACATCCTTTCCAACATCTGTTGTTTCCTGACTTGTTAATTTTAGCCATTCTGACTGGTATGAGGTAGTATCTCATTGTGGTTTTATTTGTATTTCCCTGATGCCGAGTGATGAGCATTTTTTTATGTCCATTGACAAATGAATAGATAAAGAAAATGTGATGTATATACAATGGGATATTACTCAGCCATCAAAAAAATGAAATCTTACCATTTGCAATGATATTGATGGAAATAGAGGATATTATGCTAAGCAAAAAAAGTCAATCAGAGAAAGAAAATGATTTCACTCATATGTGGAATTTAAGAAACAAAGCAGAATTATAAGGGAAGGGAGGGAAAAATAAAATAAGACAAAATCAGAGAGGGAGACAAACCATAAGAGACTCTTAACTATAGGTAACAAATGGAGGGTTGCTGGAGGGGAGATGGGTGAGGGGATGGGGTAACAGAATGATGGGCATTAAGGAGGGCACATGATATAATGAGCACTGGGTGTTATATGCAACTGATGAATCCCTGAACTCTACCTAATGTTGACTGAATTTAAATACATTTTTTTAAAAACGTTTGGGGTTCTTTTTTGTTTTTTCTTTGTTGGTTTTGTTTCTTAAATTCTGCAGATGAGTGAAATCATATGGTATTTGTCTTTCTCTGACTTATTTCACTTAGCATTATACTCTCTAGCTCCATCCGTGTTGTTGCAAATGGCAAGATTTCACTATTTTCTATAATTGAGTAACATTCATTTGTGAGGGTGAGTGTGTGTGTATGTGTGTTTACATATATGCATACATACCACATCTTCTTTATCCATTCATCTATCAATGGACACTTGGTTTTAGCCATCTGAGAGGTGCAAGGTGATATCTCATTGTAGTTTTGATTTACATTTCCCTGATGATGAGTGATGTTGAGCATCTTTTCATATGCCTGTTAGCCATCTGGATATCTTCTTTGGAGAAATGTCTGTTCATGTCTTCTGCCCCATTTTTAAATTGGATTATTTGGTTTTTGGTGTTGGGTTGTATAAGTTCTTTGCATATTTTGGATACTAACCCTTTATTGGATATGTCACTTGCAAATATCTTCTCCCATTCAGTAGGTTGTCTTAGTTTTGTTGGTTATTTCCTTTGCTGTGCTTGTTCTTGATCTTAGGGGGAAAGCTCTCAGGTTTTTACCATTGAGTATGATGTTAGCTGTGGGTTTTTCATATATGGTCTCTATTATATTGAAGTATGTTCCCTCTAAACCTACTTTGTTGAGTGTTTTTATCATGAATGTTGTACTTTGTCAAATGCTTTTTCTGCATCTATGGAAATAATCATATGGTTTTTATTCTTTCTCTTGTATATCACATTAGTTTGCAAATATTGAACTGCTTTTGTAGACCTAGAATAAATAACAATTGATTGGGATGAATGATTTTATTAATGTATTGTTGCATTCAGTTTGCTAATATTTTGTTGAGGATTTTTGCATCTGTGTTCATCAGAGATATTGGCCTGTAGTTCTTTTTTTGTAGAGTCTTTATGTGGTTTTGGTATCAAGGTAAGGTAAGGCTGGTCTTCTAAAATGAATTTGAAAATTCTTCCTCTTCTATTTTTTGGAATAGTTTGAGGAGAATAGTTATTAATTATTCTTTAATGTTTCATTGGAGTCACCTTTGAAATATATGGACCTGGACTTCTGTTTGTTGGAAGATTTTGATTACTAAGTCAATTTCATTGCTGGTCATTAGTCTATTCAAATTTTCTATTTCTTGCTCAGTTTTAGAATATTATACATTCTAGGAATATATCCAGTTCTTCTGGGTTGTCCAATTTGTTGGCATTATATTTATATTTTCATAATATTCTCTTATAATCCTTTGTATTTCTGTGGTGTTGGTTATTTCTCATGTTTTATTTCTGATTTTGTTTGAGTCTTCTCCTTTTTTTTTTTTTTTCTGAGTTGGGCTAAAGGTTTATCAATTTTGTTGATCTTAAAAAAAAAAAAAAAACAAACAGCTCCAGGTTTCATTGATCTGTTTCATTGTTTTAGTTTGTTTTGTTTATTTCTGTTCTAATCTTTATCATTTCTTTCCTTCTACTGGTTTGGGGTTGTGTTCTTTTTCTAGCTCCTTTAGGTGTCAGGTTAGGCTGTTTGAGATTTTTTTTGCTTCTTGAGGTAGGACTGTATTGCTATAAACTTCTTACAACTGTTTTTTCTTGCATCACAAAGATTTTGGACCATTTTATTCTTGTTTTCATTTGTCTCCATGTTTTCTTGATTTCCTTTTTGATTTTTTTTTTGGTTGACCCATTCATTGTTTAGTAGCATGTTATTTAATCTCCATGTATTTGTGTTCTTTCCAGATTTCTTCTTGTGGTTGATTTCTAGTTTCATAGTGTTGTGGTCAGAAAAGACACATGGTATGCTTCCAATCTTTTTTTAATTTGTTGAGACTTGTTTTATGGCCTAACCTGTGATCGATTCTGGAGAATGTTGTATGTGCAATTGAGAGGAAGGTGTATTCTGCTGTTTTAAGATGAAATGTTCTGAATATATCTGTTAGATCCATCTGGTCCGATGTGTCATTTAAAGCCACTGTTTCCGGGGCACCTGGGTGGCTCAGTCAGTTAAGTATCCAACTTGATTTCGGCTCAGGTCATGATCTCAGATTGTGAGATTGAGCCCTGCATTGGGCTCCATGCTCAGCACGGTGTCTGCTTGAGATTCTCTCTCCCTTGTCCCTCCCCCTTCTTGTGCTCTATAAATAAATAGATAGATGATAGATAGATAGATAGATAATAACTTAAAAAAAAATAAAGCCACTGTTTCCTTGTTGATTTTCTGTTTGGATGATCTGTCCATTGATGTAAGTGGGGTGGTAAAGTCCCCTACTATTATTGTATTACTATCGATTATGTTATGTTTATTATGAACTGCTTTGTGTATTTGGGTGCTCCCATGTTGGATGCATACATATTTGCAATTGTTATATCTTTTTGTTGAATTGTCCCCTTTATGATTATTATATAGTGTCCTTCTTTGTCTCTTGTTACACTCCTTGTTTTAACATCTATTTTGTCTGGTATAAGTATTGCTATCCCAGCTTTCTTTCCACTTCTGTTTGTATGATAAATGCTTTTCCATCCCTTCACTTTGAATCTGCATGTGTCTTTAGTTCTGATATGTGTCTCTTGTAAGCAGCAAATAAATGAGTCTTGCTTTTTTTTGTCCATTCCATCACCCTATATCTTTTGGCTGGAGCATTTCCTCTGTTTACATTCAAAGTAATTATTGATAGGTATGTACTTATGGCCATCTTGTTACTTGTTTTATGGTTGTTTTTGTAGTTCTTCTGTTCCTTTCTTCTCTTCCTCTTTTTGTTCATGGTTAGTTGGCTTTCTTAGTGATATACTTGGATTCCTCTCTTTATTTTTTTACATATCTATTACCAGTTTTTGATTTGTGGCTCCATTAGTTTTACATATAACATCTTATGCATATAGCAGCCTATATTAAGTTGATGGTTGCTTAAATTTGAACCCATTCTAAAAGTATTAAATTTTTACTCCTTCCCTCACATTTTAGGTGGTGTCATACTTTACATCTTTTATTTTGTGATTCCCTTGACTGATTTTTATAGATATACTTAGTGTTTTTGCTTTTGTGCTTCCTACTTTTCTTACTCCTGCTTATGATCTCTTCTTTTCAGTTAGAGTCACCTTTAAATTCCACCACCAAAGGTATTTACACATTGGGCTAGGGTAACAATAAAGAACACTTTACCTAAATCTTGGTGTGTTAACTACTCATGGGCATACGATAATCATTACTACCATATAAGCCTCATTTCTAATAATAAACTGACCCACTGTGTTCCAGGTTATTGATTTGCACTTGGATTTTTAAAAATCAACCGATTCATATCATAGATTAATTGTAGCTATTTGAATGGGAAAAAAGTATATCTAGAATTACACATGGTGTCTGATGATGTACCTTTTTGATTCTTTAGCCCTGCCCAGAATGAATTGACTTTGGAAACCTATGAGGAATTCACTAATGAAATGTGAGATATGAATGCATAAATTTAAAATTATATGTATAATCTCAACACATACACACATAAAACAATAAAGAGAGAGATAAAGAGATTGAGATTTGTAATAGTCACTCTCAGGAGCATCCATGGCAATAGAGAGTCTTCAATACTGCTTCTAATTCCTCACTGTAGTATATGTAGGTAACTGTCTTTTTTTTTTTAGATTTAGTTGAATAAAAGAAGAACTCATAAGAGGAATGCTTTTCCCCTAAGTAGGTTTGTCTCCTTTAGTAGCAGCCAAACCCTTAGATGAAAGTAAGGAGAAGAGAGAAGGCCCTGAGAACCAGGAATTTAAATGGATAAGAGGAATGGGTGCCTCCAAAACTGAAATTGAATTTGAAATAAATTCTACCAGAAAAGCCTGTTACACACTGGGATTAGGGTGACAGTATAGAACTTCTTACAGATTGATGCATTAATTATTTGTAGGCTTAAGTCATTAGCATCTTATATAAAGCCTCATTTCTAATAAAAAATGACCTACCTGGTTCATTTAGGTGTTAATGTACATGAATTTTTAAAGATTGACCAGTTCATAAGTATAGAGCAATTGTAGGTATTTAAATGGAAAAAAAAGTCATTCTAGCATTACATGTGGTGTCTATGTGCCTTTCTGATTCTTTAGCCCTGCCCAGAATGAATTAACATTAGAAACCTATGAGGAATTCACCCATGAAATGTGAAATATGAATGCATAAATTTAAAATTACATGTATAATCTCAACACATGCACACATAAAACAATAAAGAGAGATTGAAATTTGTAAAAGTCACTCTCAGGCATCCATGGCAATAAAGTGTCTTCAATACTGCTTCTAAGTTCTTACTGTAGTATATGTAGGTAACTTTCTATCTTTTTTTTTTTTTTTAGATTTAGTTGAATAAAAGAGGAAGCTATGAGAGGGATGCTTCTTCCCTTGAGTATGTTTGTTTCCCTTAATAGCAGCCAAACCCTTAATGAAAGTAAGGAGAAGAGAGAAGGCCCTGAGAACCAGGAATTTAAATGGATAAGAGGGATAGATGCCTCCAAACTGAAGTTAAATTTGAAATAAATTCTACCAGAAAAGCCTGTTACACACTGGGATTAGGGTGACAGTATAGAACTTCTTACAGATTGATGCATTATTTATCTGTAGGCCTAGTCATTACGTCTTAAATAAAGCCTCATTTCTAATAAAAAATGACCTACCTGGTTCATTTAGGTGTTACGTACATGAATTTTTAAAGGTTGACCATAACTATAGTGCAGTTATAATTATTTAAATGGAAAAAAAGTCAGTCTAGCATTACATGTGGTGTCTGACTAGGTGCCTCTTTATCTTTTAGAATTGCCCTGACTGAATTGAAATCAGACAGCTTTGAAGACATGTGAGATATAAATGAATAAAGATAAATATATATTTATATGGACATACATGAACATATGTATTTATATATCGACACAGACACACAAAGACACACACAAACATAAATACAGTGAATGAAAGGGATGAAGTTTCCAAATGCATTCTTAGGAGCACCCATGACAAAACAGAGTCTTTGTTTCTGAATCTTGTCACCGTAGCACCTCTAGGCAACTTTCTTTTTTGGATCTAGTTGAGTTAAAGAGGAACAGGTCATAGGAGGATCCTTCTTCCTCCTAGTGATGACCAGCCAAAACCTTTTGGAGATTTCCAGAATGCCTGTTTGAGACTTACTAGATTGGGTGAAGAAGGGACAGAATGCTATTTAAGACAAGGAGGAGGTAGCAGTAGACAAGGGACAGAAGAACTCTCAGCAGGAAGAGAGGAGCTAATCAAACCTGGTCTTTCACCCTCCAGAGCTTTGCTACCATGTGAGGCTACTGCCCCAAACCCACAGTCACATGGAGGGAGCCCCTGCCTCAGGCCTGCCAGTTACTTGACACTATCTGAGGGCAAGGAAGGCAAGCATGAGAGGTGAAAGGGGGTGAAGGAGGGACTGGAGAAGCAGGAAATTAGGTGGGAAGAAGGATGTATACCTGCAAATTGAGGTTGAATTTGAGATCAATTCCACCATAATGGACTGTTATACACTGGCCAGGTTCAGTAGTAAAGATCTGTACTTAATTCTTGAATCATTTGTGTTTTTGCTAGGTCCATGATACTTATTACAAACACATAAATCTTCATTTCTAGGGAAAATGAGATCTAGGTTTCAAATAACTGATTTGCCTGTGAATTTTCTAAGTGTCAGTGAGTTTATAAGTTCAATTGAAAAAGTTAAGTCTGGAAGTCATGTGATGTCTTACTGTGTCTGTTTTTAATCCTTTAGCGCTGCCCGGAGTGAATTGACAGCAGTATCCTCTGAAGGACTCTCCAGTGCAAAGTGAGCTATGATGAATACATACATAAATATGTATCTGTACACACACACAAATACACACACACATACATTGAGATTTGGGATGTTCACTCTCAGGATCACGCATGGGAATACAGAGTTCCCCTGATGCTGTTTCTAAAGTCTTCTCATGGTAAGCTTCTATATGTAATATTCTTTGTCTTTTTAATATAGGTGGAAAAAAGATGAACAGGTCCTAGAGGGAGTCTTTTTAATCCTACTATTTGTCCACCTTGATTATTGTGGATGAGAGTCTACTAGAATGGTCAAGGGAGGAGGAAAATTTATTTGGAGCAAGGAGGAGTCAGCAGAAAGAACGAAGCTAATAGACCCTGGATCTGTCCCTGACCCTCTAGAGCTCTGCCCCCATGTGAAACTGGTGCTCCAAACCTACCACCATACTGGAAGGAGCCTCTGCCTCAGGTGTTTAGTCACTTGACCAGGAAAGACAACCAGGAAGCATGAAGAGTAAGCAGATGATGAAGGGAATTGAGAATCACAAAATTAGTTGGGGTCAAAGGGATATGTACCTATAAACTGAAGCTGAATTTGAAATAAATTCTACCAGAAAAGGCTGTTACACACTGGGATTAGGGTGACAGTATAGAACTTCTTATAGACTGATGCATTATTTATTTGTAGACCTAACATAGTCATTAGCATCTTAAATAAAGCCTCATTTCTAATAAAAAATGACCTACCAGGTTAAATTAGGTGATATTTACATGAATTTAAAGATTGACCAGTTCATACGTATAGAGCAGTTGTAGTTATTTAAATGGAAAAAAAGTCAGTCTAGCATTACATGTGGTATCTGACTATGTGCCTCTTTAATCCTTTAGCACTGCCATGACTGAATTGAAATCAGATGGCTATGATGAAGTCACCAGTAAAAGGTGAGATATAAATGAATAAAGATAAATATTTATATGGGCATATATGCACATATGTATTTATATACTTGTATCGACACAGACACACAAAGACACATACACAAACAACAGGAATCCATCAAAATCCTAGAGGAGAACACATGCAGCAACGTCTTTGACCTCAGTCACAACAACTTCTTGCTAGACACATCTCCAAAGACAAGGGAAACAAAGGCAAAAATGAACTATTGGGACTTCATCAAGATAAGAAGCTTTTGCATGACAAAGGAAACCATCAACAAAACTAAAAAGCAACCTAATGGTAGAAGATAGTTGCAAATGTCTTATCAGATAAAGGGCTCGTATCCAAAAGCTATGAAGAACTTACTAACTTAACACCCAAAACCCAAAATACCCAGTCAAGAAATGGGCAGAAGACATGAACAGACATTTCTACAAAGAAGACCTACAAATGGCCAACAGACACATGGAAAAAATGCTCAACATCACTCAGCATCAGGGAAACACAAATCCAAATCACAATGAGATATAACTTCTTACCAGTCAGAATCGCTAAAATTAAAAACTCAGGAAACAACAGATGTTGGAGAAGATGTGGAGAAAGGGGAACCCTCTTACACAGTTGGTGGGAATGCAAACTGGTGCAGCCAAAAATAGAGCTACCCTATAACCCAGCAATTGCACTAGTAGGTATTTATCCAAAGGATATAAACATAGTGATTTAAAGGGGTACATGCACCCCAATGTTTATAGCAGCAATGTCCACAATAGCCAAACTATGGAGAGTCCAGATGTCCATCAACAGATGAATGGATAAAGAAAATGTGGTGTGGGTGTGTGTGTGTGTGTGTTCAACCATCAAAAAGAATGAAATCTTGCCATTTGCAATGACATGGATGGAACTAAAGGATATTTTGCTAAGCGAAGTAAGTCAGTCAGAGAAAGACAAATACTATATGAGTTCACTCATGTGGAATTTAAGAAACAAAACAGATGAACACGGGGGAAGGGAAGGAAAAATAAGAGGAAATCAGACAAACCATATGAGGCTCATAACTATAGGGATCAAACTGAGTGTTGCTGGAAAGGATGTGGGTGGGGAGAAAGGGTAACTAGGTGATGGGCATTAAGAAAGACACTTGAAGTAATGAGCACTGGGTGTTGTATGCAACTGATGAATCACTGAATTCTACCTCTGAACCTAAAAAACAGTATATGTTAATGAAATTGAATTTAAATAAAAAATAAAAGAGATGAAGTTTCCAAATATATTCTTAAGAGCGTCCGTGACAATACAGTGTCTTTGACTGTTTCTGAATCTTTTCATTGTAGCAGCTGTAGGTAACTTTCTGTCTTTTTTGGATCTAGTTGGGTTAAAAAGTCACAGGTCATAAGAGGAATCGTTCTTCTTCCTAGTGACGACCAGCCAAAACCTTTTGGAGATTTCCAGAATGCCTGTGTATGCAGGAGGTAGCAGTAGACAGGGGACAGAGGAGCCCTCAGCTGAAAGAAAGTTGCTAATCAAACCTGGATCTTTCATGTGAGGCTACTGCCCCAAACCCACAGTCACATGGAGGGAGCCCCTGCCTCAGGCCTGCCAGTTACTTGACACTATCTGAGGGCAAGGAAGGCAAGCATGAGAGGTGAAAGGGGGTGAAGGAGGGACTGGAGAAGCAGGAAATTAGGTGGGAAGAAGGATGTATACCTGCAAATTGAGGTTGAATTTGAGATCAATTCCACCATAATGGACTGTTATACACTGGCCAGGTTCAGTAGTAAAGATCTGTACTTAATTCTTGAATCATTTGTGTTTTTGCTAGGTCCATGATACTTATTACAAACACATAAATCTTCATTTCTAGGGAAAATGAGATCTAGGTTTCAAATAACTGATTTGCCTGTGAATTTTCTAAGTGTCAGTGAGTTTATAAGTTCAAGGGTAGTTATAGCCAATTTGAACCAAAAAAGGTAAGTCTGGAGGTCATGGGATGTCTTACTCTGTCTGTTTTTAATCCTTTAGCGCTGCCCGGAGTGAATTGACAGCAGTATCCTCTGAAAGACTCTCCAGTGCAAAGTGAGCTATGATGAATACATATATAAATATGTATCTGTACACACACATACATTGAAATTTGGGATGTTTGCTCTCAGGAGCACCCATGGGAATACCCAGTTCCCTTGATACTGTTTGTAAAGTCTTCTCATGGTAACCTACTATATATAAAATTCTTTGTCTTTTGAACAGAGGTAGAAAAAAGATGAATGGGTCATAGAAGGAATTCTCTTTTCCCTAGTCTTCACCCTTAATACTAGCAGCCAAACTGATAGGAAACTCAGATTGCCTGTGTCTGTGACTCTTCTGGAGTGGGTCAAGGGAGGAGAAAAACCTTTTTGGAGAAAGGAGAATAATAGTAAATTGTAAACAGTAAATGGTATGAGTGGACAGGATGCAGAGGATGCCTCAGCAGAGAAGAGTGGAGCTAATAGACCCAGATCTGTCTATGTTTTGCCACCATGTGCAACTGGTCCCCCAAGCCTGGACCCACCATCACATTGGATAGAGTCATTGACTTAGGCTTGTGGTGACTTGATACCATCTGAAGGTTGAAAGACATCCATGATTCCTAAAGAGCACAGATGGGTTAGAGGAACTTCAGGAATTTAGGTTAGTCAATAGAAATGTATACTTACACTGAGGTAAATAAATAAATAAATCCCACCATAAAAGGATGTTGCACACTGGGTCAGATTCAGTAGTAAAGAACTATATTTAACCTTGAGTCATTAGTTTTGGTTTTTTTTTTTTTTGACAGGTGTAAGGTATTCATTACAAACATATAAAGCCTCATTTCTGGGGGAAATGATATACCAGGTTTCAAATAACTGATTTATGTGTAAATTTTTAAAGAGTCAACTATTTTGCAAGTTAGAGAATAATGTTAACTAATTTGAACCAAAATATGTAGTCTAGAAAATCATGTAGTCTGACTATGGCCCTTTTTAATCCCTTAGTACTGCCTTGAGTGAATTAACAACAGGAACTTCTGATGGAACCACCAAGGAAATGTGAGATATAAACAAAACCATACACATATAAATATATGTACAGAGAGGGAGGAAGGGAGAAAGAGAAAGATTGAGATTTTGGAGATTCATTTTCAG